GAGGGGGCATGATTCCCCCTGGAAACCATCGTGATATATTCTTGGTGATTTGTCACGATGGGCTAACTGACCGGACCTCATACTCATCTTATCGTCCTCCACTGGTGCCCAGCGTAAACCCTTAGCGCAATCGAGTGCACCATTCCATTGTCATCCATAAAAAATATTGCGGTTTTGCATACCGTTTCTATTCTGATCGTCGCTGCTTCGATTCCTAGCAGGGTGCAACATTTGTATTAACGAGTACAATGATTTGTTTACATCGTTATACGTGATTTCTATGTTGTGTGTGTGTGTGCATTTACAAATTAATATAAATTTAAGTATTTCTATAAGTTGTCTAGTACCAACAACATCAGTTCTGTTTAGTTTGGTGCTGTGAATTGTTCTGTGTTATTATTATCACTATATATAATTATATTAGAGATTACTATCAGTTTGGTGTCCATTTCAAAAACATAAATAACTCAACAATATAAGAAAATCTATCATTAACAATAATCATCAAATTATAACAGATATTGCATATCATCATCTGCTTCTTCCTTAACCCATTTATTTGTGGTCGACGTAATATGTTTTTCGCTTCCATTCATCCCTGTTCGCAGTCATCTCGTTATTTACTCCCTTTCTTACCATATCATCCTTCACACAGTCCATCTATCTCTTTTTCAGCCTTCCTCTGCCCTTATAACCATCAACAATCAAATTATGTAACACCTTCCTAACAGATATTGCATATGTAAATAAATACATTCACATTTAGAACCTCCTTTTTGACAGTCGGTTGAAAACAATTTCTAACCTTAACACATACATAGGCGTTCCCAAAAGCATTGAGTCAGTTCGATCTCTCTGTAAACACAATTTGCGGCTGTCTTCATGCGAATTTGCATGTATATTGGATCAGAGCACAGTTGACACTGATACGGCTCCGACTTCCGGGAAGGTGGCATTCTTCAAACGGCAACTGATGATGGATAGTCCAAACATAATCGTCTAATTCATTTATCCAACCCAATATTGGAAATTAAGGGAAAGATTTTACTTTTTGATTCCTACGTATAAAATAAAAAATTAAATAAAAACAAAATTTATCCGCCCGCATTCACACCAGTGCGCAGGTAAAGTTATTGTAGATTTTTTTTTTTCAAAGATAAAAATATCTTTGTTCCATATTCGTCCATCTCCTTTTCAGTGATGGAACAGGCAAAGATCCTTAGACCGTACAGCCTAGTCTACGTTTTTTTTTTTTCAAAGATATAAAAAGAATCTTTGTTTCTTGCTCATTTTTTTTTCTATAGCTTTCGAAGTAGAACATCTATTTACTATTACTTAATTACAATATAAGTAAAAAAAATCGTATAATATTAATCGATGTAATTAAAAACGCAGTGAATACTTGCTTGGTGTTTATAATAGTGATACTCAAGCAAGATACGGTTATGACATATGTTCATCGTTGTTTCAGTTCGAATTTTAAATATCTATGCCGATGTTATTTGCGCGGAAAAATAAACACTGCCTATTATTGCTTTGAGGTGTCATTTAGAACAAAACATTTTATGTATAATCTGTAATCGAATGCAGATGAGAGGTTAGCCGCTACGTACGAATATTTTAATATCTGTGGTTTTGTTCATTTGCGCGGGAAAAAGTGTGCTCGATATTGCCTCAACGCTTGAAACTGACAACAAAATATTTTTTGCATGAACATGTGATACCAATGTTTTAGGCCAGTATATGTGATGTACCTTGTTTGTATATATTCATTTTCATTTTACTCTCGACATTTGCAATCCAAGCCGGCGTTATTTAAAACTTTTTTTTTATGTTACATAGATTCAATTATGGTTCAATTCTCGTAACGTCAGCTAAGTCTTATTCGACGTAATGTTATTACTCTGTGATCACTTTTTTGGACAGACAGTTGTGTTGTTTTATTATAGCTGTACCCGCAACTTCGTCCGCGTGGGATTTAACTTTATTTTTTATAAAATAAAAGTAGCCTAAGTTACTCCTTATTACATCAGCTACCTGCCAAAAAGAGCCCCGTCAAAATCGGTCCAGCCATTTCAGGGATTATCCGGAACAAACAGACAGACTAAAATTGTAAAAAATGTTATTTTGGTGTATGTACTGTATATGTACCTGTATATGTACATGGATATGTATTTATATTCATATGCATGTAGTAAAAAACAGTTATTTCAATATCACAAACAGACACTCCAATTTTATTTATATGTATAGACTACCAAAAAATATTATGAAAAATAACACATCTTATTACCCAAAACTAAGATTTATAAAGGTATTAAAATTAGATTTAATATTACGTATAATATATTAAGTATTTGCAAGAGACAGTGTTTAAGTAAATCTGTCTATCAAATTGTTTAATGCCCGTAGTACAAGTTCTACTAAGTTTAGAACTATAATTCGTCGTGTAAAATATTCAGAATTACTATTTCATTTATTAGACTATTTTTTTTATTAAACCTTATATAAAACTGCTGTGCTAAAACGTTTAAAAAAGTTTCGTAGCCTTAATATAAATAAAAAAAAAACAGTTCGAAATACCGGTGTTTTAGAGGTGACTGACCTCGCCTTCTATACTCGTAGTTCCTATAAATTCTTGAATTCCTTTTTCAAACGATAACGAGCCCGCTGTCGCCTGCCGGTGTCGCGCCATCAAGAATGCTTTTTCTATTAGCACGCACGTATATAATTATACAAAATAGCAGAAATACTTACCTTATTTTACTATGTAGTATAATAAAATAGTGTAAACAAAATTATTTTAACGATAAGGCCGCCCATTGTTGCCTCTTTCTCTTCTCGTTGTTGTATATTTATAAATCTTTACATAGTATAAAAGTATAAAACAGAGTCGCCACCGCTGTCTCTTCGCTTATATCTTTTTTTTTATAATGCATCATTTTTAAATTACGCAACGGCTAAATCCGTTGCGTAATTTAAAAAAGATTCATTACAAAAATAGATGCAGTTTTAGCTTCTAATGCAGTTTCTATTGCAGTTTCAGTTCAGCAATAGATAGAGTGATTCAAGAGTAAGATATGCGTATATAAAAAAACCGCGATATCACTCAGCCTTGTCATCCGAATGGACTTACATATCATGGAGAAAATTCAATAAATTGAATATATGGAATAGCTTATATTTAATTGCAAATAAATAAAACAATACAATTTCCATGCGTTTATTTACCGTCTATTTACACATGTAAATCATTAAATGGATATGTATTCACAAACTATCATAATTCGTTTAATTATTATCAAAATTATTCTAATTCTTATCACTAACGATACTAATCATACAATTTAATTATTAGTAACATTTAAATAAACAGAAACGTAATATTTTTACTTCAATAAAGAGATATTAATAAATTTAATTTTATAGTGAAGCAAATGAGTACCTACACTTTTTGACATAAACATGTCGATTTTTGATGAGGACATGTCGTTTTGTGACGAGGACATGTCGACTTGTAGCTGACAATTTGCGTACAGAACATGTCTACTGCTTAATTGTCAAATTATTTGTCGCGATTCACAAAAAAATATCAAAATATTAACAGAGAAATGTAATGGACGCACTAACCAAATACATGTTGCAATGCAAGTTGTTTGCTCAAAACTAGTTTTAGCATTTTCACTTACACAAATCATGATTAATATGTAATTTACAACATTTACACAATTTAGTTTGAATTCTCTAAATATTTTTAAGACGATTTTTCTTTTTTTTCTTTGAAAACATGGTTGAGCAACGCATTCGAGTAATTTATGTAATCAATATTAATTTAAGCATATCAATAAAACTGTAATTCCAAATTTAAATATTTGAAAAAAAAAACGATAGATGTGGAACATTCTAAATTTAAAGTTATAAATAAAATAAATTACAGTAGCCAGTTTCACCGTGTCACGAGAATACGCTTAAAAAGGCCACGTGTGGTGTCGAAATTCCAAACATACAGGGTGCTTTTATAATTTACACTATTATCGCACGATAATAATATTATCGTTACGTATACTGTTAAATTAAATTTAAAAGCGTCTCTATACATTATGTTGTATCGTTGCCATGAAATCGAAATAAATTTGACAAATATGATCTAAATGTAGCTGTACTTACATACGTATATAATTAAGTGACACCTGTTTCTTATCATGTAGACAGAATTATTATGTATTTGTACCTAATAATACAGATAATATATCAGAATTAAAAAGTAAAACTGAATTACCAGAAGACTAATTTAAGAAATATATATTTTAATGTTTAACAATCCATTCATATTTACATATAATTTCATATATAGGGAAAATTAAAAATTGCTTCCAATATCATCCAGCACTGGGTATTTTATTAAATGCATACAAACTGATCCTTAAGGCATAATAATTATGACATACTTTTCTGTAACTAAAACAGGTCAAAGAAAAAACTTAGTTAAGTAGTTCCTATAACTATTTATTTATAGAAAAACTATCAGTCAATACTAATAATACATTAATTACACGACCGTGAAGATTAATATTAATTATTGTAAATTATAAAAAAAATATTAGACGACTTACATATATGTAAAATTGCAATTTTTACATTCCCATCAACATCAACCTGTATAAGTCTCATGATTAGTTAATATCATAGATATATAGATAAATGCTTTATTCATTAATAACAAACACATACATACATGAGATACAGAAATATAAATTGTAGAAATAAAAATGGAGGTGGATACGTGCCGGAAAGATGAAGAAGCAACCGACTCAGAAAACCAAAGAAAAAAAGTTTCATTTTTCACGAATTTTCATCCCCTATTTTTTTTACCCTCTTAAGAGTAACATTTTTACAAACTTTGAATGTCATATTCATTTATATTTAATCAATAGCCCAAAAATTTAATTTCACGCTTCTAGCTTTAAAATTGATGAATGTCATCATCATCATCTCAAAGGCCTCCCCCAAAGAACTCCAAAAATGACGATACCTCCATAAAATCTTTCCTCACCCCTTTGAAACCTTTACAGCTCTTTTTTCGCATTAAAATTATCCTATGTCCTTTCTCAGAGTCTAGACTATCTGTGTACCAAATTTCATTTAAATTGTTTCAGTAGTTTTGGCGAGACAGACAGACAGAGTTACATTTATAATATTAGTATGGATATTACACTTCGAGCTCCTTAATATATGAATGTAATTACATATAAATAAATACAAATTAAAATATAAACAGATTAAAAATGATGTTGTGTAACGTTCATCAGATGTTATTCTCCATTTTTATTTAACTTTTTAAATTAAACAAAAATAAAATCTGGGTTCATGCAGCAGTCGCTTCGTTTGTCCGGATTATGGTCGGCGCGCAACCATTTCCCGTGACAATGGGGGACCACGAGTGCGTAAAAGCGGGTCACATGTCCGGCCACGCCGTGTCCAGCGCAACGCCATTTAAGGTCTCGACGGAGAGCTGCTGATTCGCATAGCACACAAACCGTGTTACCTGGTGAAATGGAAACGTGATATATCAGAAAAAAACATAGTCACAGCTTAAGGTGAGTGGACGATGGAAGGCCAAGTATTAGAAAATCCTTATAAGGAGCACGGCCTTGAATGTTCCCCCTATTTTCGGTGCCTACCGGTGGGTCACTCCGCAACGAAAGTAAATTTACACGTTGGGACCGCATGATCACCCGTGGGCACTTTAATTGGAATAATACTAGGGGTTAAATAATGTCTACCCCGAATTGTTGTACACTAAAAACATATTTAAAAAATAATATATGTAATTACCAATAAATAAATGCCGGTCCTTATGTGAGAAATAAGAGTTTTCAATGCGGTCTTAAACGTGTTAAATTATCACTAGATACTAACATTTTAGGAGCTGCTGATTCGCATATCACACAAACCGTGTTTTTTGATGAAATACAAACATCATGGAAGGCCAATTATTAGAAAGTCCTTATAAGGAATACGGCCTTCATTAGATACTAATATTTGAGTCCAAGAACTATGCACAGCACATAAACCGGGTTTACTGGTAAAATGGAAATGCGATATATCAGAATAAATAATAATTATAGCTACATATTAAGGCGAGGGGACCATGGAAAGCCAATTGATTATTACATTTGGAAAGTGGTGTTTTTAATCATTACTAATCAGGAGTAAGGCCTTCCACGGTCGACTCTCCTTCCTTTTTAATAGTTGGCCTTATAAAGTGTGCGGCTATAGATGGTCCACCTATTTTAAATTATCATTAGATACTAATATTTGAGTCCAAGAGCTTCGCGTAGTACACAACCCAAACCAAACCTGAAGAAATGGAGACGCGATATATCTAAAAAACACATAGTCATAGCTCAAGGCGAATGGACCATGGAACATTATGCTCCTTATGAGGCCAATTATTCAAAAGTCGTGTTTTTAATCATAAGTGCTGAATATAATGGTTCACTCGCTTTCTAACTATTATACAGAAAAGCCGACCAAGGTCATGATCCTTATAAGGAAGCATGACCTTGGTCGATTCATCTTTCATTATCATTAGATATAATATTTAAATCCAATATAACAACATGAATAGGATTCAAATATAGTGTATGTTAATATTTTGAAGCCGGACTTTTGGAGTCTTTTTCAAAAATACTAAACAAATTTAATGAATCATTTTAAATGTTAGCTTTTTACACCCGTCATAGTAGAATGCAAATGTGATCTCGACTTCGGCACGCCATTGGGGTATTTCTTAATGTGTGGAAAATTCACGCCAACATATCCTTGGTAGGTAGAAAGCTTTGAATACCTTCCCACACGTAAGTATTCATTAATTAGTTACCACAATATCATTGAAAACATAATATATATAGCCACACATACCGAGTGGTTACTACTGATCTGCTGAAACACAAACGTCGTCCCGAGTTCAGTTCCCAGGCTCACACAAACACAATTGTTTGTATATATAAGATTCTCGTGTCACAGTTTTCGTTCCCATACTCCTCCGAAACGGCTTGACCGATTCTCATGAAATTATGTGAGCGTATTGAGTAGGTCTGAGAATCAGCCAACATCTATTTTTCATCCCCCTAAATGTTAGGGGTAGTCCACCCCTAATTTTTTTCTTTTATTTTAAGGCAAAACAACGTTTGCCGGGACAGCTAGTAACATATATATTTTCCTTTAAGACCAGTAGTTATCATTTTAGAGATATAAAATGTACTCAATGGATTTATATTATTTTGTCAATAATTAGTCGGTGTGAGATTACAAATATTCAGTTCGGAAACTTGACTACCTTTAAGACCTTCTCTAATGGTGATCAAATTCCAACCGTTATTGAGTTTCCACCCATATTGCGACACGTGTTTCTCTGAGTTGAAACACGTGTCGCAATATGGGTGTAGACTCAATAACGAGGTATAAAATAGGGTTCGGATATAGCTTGGACTTCTTGTGTTGACTGTTCGACGACCAAACAACGACTCGCGAAGGTAATCAGTTTCCGCACAGGATATTTCTGATATTACACAAGCTAATTGTAGTGGAATAATAATAATAATAATAATCTTAGGACAATTCATACAGCGCCATCTAGACCCAAGTTAAGGTAGCTAAAGTTTGTGTTATGGGTAGTAGATAACTGATACATATACATCGATTTTTTTTGTAAATACATACATATTATACATAGATAAAACCCAGACTGACACATGTTTGTATCATGAATGAATCGTGAATGAATCATGAATCGTACTCATGAATACAAATGTTTGTGCCGTGCGAGGAATCGAACCCGCGATCATCGGTCGTAAAGCGGAGTGCTGGACCGCTAGACCACCGAGGTCGAGGAATTAAACAAAATAAAATAAATCCATTGAGTAGTGAAATGTATTTCCGCAAAATAAATTAAATATATATAAAATGTATTACTATTATTACTTTCAACACGTTAGAAAAAAATATTCACATATCCTGTTAAATTTTTTTTTTTCATTTACACAAAGAAGTTTTTACAACAATCATATATTACAATTATCAGACATTATATAAACCGTCACACATAATTCTATTTACCCTGACTATAGTGACATACCTTCACGTAATGGTTTGTAGTCCGAGTCACTGTGACAAGCTTTGGACACCTTTTTTACTTCAAACTGGACACAATATCTGAAAACATGGAAATAGTTAATGCATGAATTTTTTTTTCGGACTACTCTAATGCTGTTGGCCGCAGCTGGCCTTTACAGCTTTACCGGACGTTAGGGGGCGAGTGCAGATGGCACTCCAAACCCGCGGAAGGACTTATGGAGCGGCTGAAGGCCAACTCCTGCCTGACGGATACGACTTTAGTCTGAGGGCGCCCCTAGGGGTTCGAACCTCGGCTCAGGCCGTCGTAATATCAATCCCCGTTTGAATTGGACGGGGGATCGATTGGATGGGATGAATTAACACTTGTGACAGTAGGTTTTTATATAAAGCTGATGTATAATGGCAAACTATTACTACAGGTGTCGAATGATGACATGATATATGTGGTACTGTGTATGAAATATATGTTAATTTATATATAGTTGAAAATGTAGGTTATAGTTTGAGTGGACTGTATGTGTGTAATCAAACAATGGATAGAAAATGGTAAATAATTATAATACAGATACGTATACAAACAGTTGTAAGGCAAAAAGTGACCAAATATTAGACAATTCTAAAAGAAAATACATTTAAAATTGGTAGAAAAAAAACATATAAAATGTGCAAAGAGTTTGCAATATAGTCGTATATATAAATGAACATAATAATAATAATTATAATAAGCCGGTCCTCGAAAGCGACAGCGTCAAGCTCTACTGGGACCGATCCATCATCACGGACAGGACCGTTCTTGCGAACAAACCTGATATCGTGGTGATGGATCGGGCACTTTCGAGGGTGTTTTTGGTGGACATCACCATACCGCATGACGAGAACCTCGTGAAAGCCGAAACTGAGAAAAAGAGAAAGTACCTCGACCTGGCTCACGAGGTGACCGAAATGTGGGGGGTGATGTCCACCGAAATCATTCCAATCGTTATGTCGGTGAACGGTCTTATCCCAACCAGTCTGGAACAACATCTCAGACGGTTGGGATTCCGGGGCGGCTCACTCCCGGGAAAGATGCAGAAAGCGGTGCTGTTAGATTCTGCCCGCATTGTACGCCGGTTTCTGTCCCTGGGGCCCTGAATCCCGGCCGACTGTGCTTCTGCCGGGGGTATGTTGCCATCTCCTCTCCTTAAGAGGGGAGATGAGAATTTTTGGGAAAAAAAAAATGAATAATAATTTATTTATTTGCCTGCTACATGGTAATTTTGATCTTACAATATAATATAAGTACACGACATGCAGCACCCCGTAGAGGTATGCAAATATTGGAAATGATATCATAATTACAAGATGTCATTAAATTTCATTAAAACATTATAATAGGTACCACAATAAAATAATAAATGTCACAGTATTCCATTAATGTCAATCTATATCTTTAAAAGTATAATTACATGAAGTCAGAGTTCTTTTTTTATTGGATTGTTTGGGTCAGATGTGTAGCACCTGTAGCACTGCGACCTACATAGATCTATTGTGCTCGCCCTTTTCAGAGTTCGCTACCTAGAACCGTCAGGGACAAGAATTGAAGGATATTCTTAGGAGCGATGGTTTTTATCTCCTCGGGAAAGAGTGTAAACTTTCCAAAGGAGATATTTCGTTTATGCATGAGTGGGCTACAACCACATAGGATGTGAAGCGGCGTTTCCTCTTCAGTTTGGCAGAATCTGCAGATACTTGTCGTGCTTAGGCCTAGTTTAGCCATATGCTTGTTTAATTTGCAGTGTCCTGTGAGGGCCCTAGTCATCATGCATATTTTGTCAGTCCCTTATACTGTAGAAGTTATTTACAATTAGCCACTCCTGTAACGTTGCCCTAAAATGCCTTATATTACATTGTTTGATATGTTGAATGAACATACATTTCATACACAGCACTACATACATCACGTCATCATTCGCCATCTGTAGTACCTGTAGTATTCGACATCATGTATTGATTCACATTTCCTAATTGTTTGGGAAACTACTCTCTGTATATATATAGGGAAAAATAAGGAAGCGTCAGTCCTTATGGTTCTGCGGATTTCTTGGGCTTCAGGGTCTCGAAAGTATCTTCGCTAGCTTTCCAGTTTCACAGTAGGTTTCACAGTTCTAATTTATTTTAATTCACAACACAATGCGCGCGCGCGTCAAGGCCGCCGTACAGTCGGTTTGTTACTAGTTAGGGAGGGGAAGGGAACGCGCGGGAACAGAAAACTAACGGACTCTAACATAATATAATATCTGTGCTTACGATGATACACGGTAGATTTTGAACACTAATACTAAGATACCATGCTCCGCAGATTATATAAATAAATTAATTAATTACATATAAATTTAATACATATAAATAAAATTGGAGTGTCTGTTTGTAATACTGAAATAACCTCATTTTTAAAGCTAGAAGCTTATATTGAAACTTATTTCTGAGACTGCTAATTAAATATAAATAAATATGACATACATTATGTGGGTACTAGACAACTGGTAGAAATACTCACATGCATTTTTTGTTATACATACATAATATACTCAAAAAAACAGCCTTTACAGTCATACTCATGAATACAAATGTTTGCATCCTGCGAGAAATCGAACCCGCGACCATCGGAAGTACAACAAGCCACACCGCTAAACCACTTACGCTGTTGCATAAGTGGTTTAGCGGTGTGGCTTGTTGTAATTATTTTGGTATTTAATATGTAATTATATACAATAATAAATTAAGGTACTCACTCCCTGTGTGAATTCGACTCAGGGTCATCAGGGTTCCGCAGCCGAAGGTTCTTACGGATGTCCACAGTCTCGTTGGAGTGGCGACTCACCGACAGTGCACCAGGGAGCAGCATCGCCGTTTCATCTACCACGAAAATTATTCATATTAGATTTTGTTCCATAAATTTATACTAATATTATAAAGCTGAAGAGTTTGTTTGTTTGAGCACGCTAATCTCAGGAACTACTGGTTCGAATTGAAATTTGTTTCATTAATGTTATGTTGGATAGTTCATTTGTCGAAGAAGGCTTTAAGCTATATAACATTACGCTACGATAAATAGAAGCGAAGCATCAGTGAAAAATGTTGGAAAACGGGGAAAATTATTCATCATTACATAGTATAAAATAAAGTCGCTGTCGCTGTCTGTCCGTCCCTATGTATGCTTAAATCTTTAAAACTACCCAACGGATTTTAAAGAGGGTTTTTGTAATAGATAGAACGATTCAAGAGGAAGGTTTATACCCGTGCGAAGCCAGGGTGGGTAGCTAGTATAATAATAAATGTCAAGTAAGTGTGGTGCAGACGAAGATGCGTGGGTCAGCTAGTTAACTTTTAATCGTGGTCAATTATTCCATATCATTTAATTGTTAATAATTAAATTATGAATGTATAAAAATTATTATTGAGGGAAAAATAGAAGGAAGGGGTGGTGGGCCCTTCGTGTGGTGGTGCGGTGGACCAAGGAACAGTTACATCAAATAAATTAAAGACAAAATTAGAGTCTTATTAGGTAAAAAGCATGATGAAAGTGGCAAGATGGAAGATTTTCTACGATCTTCCATCAATTTCTTTAGTCTTTAAAGTTTATATAAATAAAAAAAAAATCCGAAACAATTTCTTACCTCTCAATGGTACATTACTATCCGCAGAACAGCCATGATGTTCCTGACAGGCTCTCCGCTGTACAAGTGAGGGACAGTGCCTGCCGCCGTGCGCTGGTGCTTGCACCACCCTGCGACTCCTCACCATGCTGCCGGAGCCACAGACTGTATCGCAGTTGGACCACGCCCCCCATCCTGACACAACGCAGTCTATCACTGTGGACAAGGAAAATTGAACCTTAACTCTTCACTAAAGTATTGTCTTCTGCACATCAAATAGTTTTTAGGCATCTTTGTTTTTGAACTATATAATGCTGTTGGTTATAGCTGACTCTCTAAGATAATAATCATATCTTCGAACAATTCACACAGCGCCATCTAGTGCCAAGGTACGACAGAGCTTGTGTTACGGGTACTAGACAACTGATATTAAAACATAGAAATAATTTTGCTTTTGCTTTAAATACATACATGTTATACATTTAAAACAGCCAGATGGTAGTCTAGCGGTTTAGTTTCACCACCCATTTCCGATGGTAGCGGGTACGATTTCTCGTACGGTATAAACATATGTATTCATGAATATGATTGTTTGTATCGGTCTGGGCATTATCTTAGTGTTTATATCAGTTAAGTTTAGTTTGGAACTAGATGGCGCTGTGTGAATTGGCGTGAAATATTAATAATAATAATAAAATATATACACTAATCTGCTTAGCGATAAATATAAATGACATAGAGATCCACAATACTTGAAAATATTGTCTAATCTATTCAAGTACATCAATCACAACAATAAGAAAAGTGGGTAATAACGGATTATTTTCATAGAGTTAATACCTTCTGTGAATAGTGTAGTAGAATAGTTCTGTGAATTGTGTTTATAGTGGGCTTAATTTTTTTATTGGTTTATGACTTTGGAATAATCTTCATTCTATGGTGACTGGTACCTTTGCCTATCTAGTTGTTAATAAAATATACAACTTCAAATAATATCACAGGTATCGTAATAAACTGCATTAATTTATAAATTATGGGAATTCAACTTTAATGTTAAAATTATAAAGTCGATTTCCAAAAATTTATAATTAGTTAAAATTTATATTTAAGTTGAGTTAATTCTGTCTATTACTAAATATGCGATAAATTAAAAAAAAACCTAGGTTGTAATAATCAACCCCATCAACCCGTGTGGACTAATGACCCCCATTTACCATATCAGGTCCACGCGATGTCTCCTGGAAACCGTGGTGATAAATTCCTGAAGAATTTACCAGGATAGCCTAACAAAGCTGAGAACACGCTCATCTTAGCATCCTCCACGCGGTGCCTCCTGGAAACCATCGTGATAAATTCCTGATGAATTTACCAGGATGACTTAACAAAGCTGAGAACACGCTCATCCTCCACTGGTGACCGACCTGACCTCATGCTCATCTTGTCATCTTTTACTGGTGCCCCGTCAGCTGAAACCGTTAGCGCAGATCGGAGAAAATTTCATTATAACAATTTTCGCACGTAATCTAAAAAAGCATATCTATTAAAAAATTCAGGACCATAGATAATAGAACCAGTGTTGTGCCTCATAGCATTTCTGTCGATGATTGTCATGTTTTTTTAAATCCAATTCAGCGATTGTTCTTTTAGATTACGCTCGAAAATGTAATCTAAAAAAGCATAGACTGTCTATTAAAAAATTCACAAACCATAGATAATAGAACCAGTGCTGTGCTTCATAACATTTATGTAGATGACAGTCGTGTTTTTTTCTAAAACCAATTCAACGAATGTTCTTTTAGATTACGCGCGAAAATTGTTATAATCTATTCAAGGACGTCGTAACAACCACGAACAACGATAGTAAAACAGTTAATGGACTATAAAGAGGGTATAAGAGGCGATTTGTCATGTGCGAACGCCGTTAAGATGGTGTACCGTTAAATTATAGACAGTACGCGAATGTATTTTTAGTGCTGAAAGCGAGACTTCAGCTGTGTAGAAAATAATATATTTTTTATTAAGGTGGCGTAATTACGGCTATACATAGAACGATAATCGTGTTTTGCAATATAAATATTTAATCGTACCTGATACGATTAAATATTTATTCTTTTGCAGAAGTCTATTTCACTACTAAATAAATATATATTATCTTGTTTAAATCCACTACAATTATCACGTGTGAGATCACAGATATTTAGTGCGGAAACTTGACTGCTGTTATATTCATATTGTACATGTGTTTCGGCTCTGAAAATGTTTACTGTTCGGCGACCAAACCGAGGTTAGGCAGCACTAAGCTTCCAAGCTATGTCCGAATGGGTGATGGAAGATGGGTGACACTGCATGTTGTCAACTCACCCGGCCGGCCAGCGGTGGTTCTGGGCCAGACGGATAAGGTCTGCCTCGGTGTCACTGTTAGGCAAATTGTAACATCTCGGCTGGAGTTGTACAAAAGTGGAAATTAAATAAATATTATAATATTAAAGTAAATTAAAAAAGGCACGGACGAATATGTCTGTGGAAAAATGTATTTAAAAAAAAAAAAAAAGCTATGTCCGAACTCTATTGAACGCCTGATATTTCAATAGAGTTCGGACATAGCTTGGAAGATACCTCGTTCGGAGGCGAATATGGGTGTAGAATCAATAATGATCGGAATTTGATCACCATTAGAGAAGGTTATAACGGTAACTAAGTTTCCGTACTCAATATTTGTGATCTTACACAAGCTAATTGTAGCGGAATTAAACAAAATAATATAACTCCATTAAGTAGTGCAATATAAACTTCTAAAGACGTCACGATGGGACCGATTAACACTAGCATATAGCCTTCACAGGAGGTTTCCCGAGAAGATATCTCGCGTATTCCCGTGCGCCTTCTCGAAGACGGAGAGGGTTTTTGCTTCAGTACAAGAGAGAGACCTGCAGCGAAGCAGTCAAACGCCATCAGTGTTTCTGTGGACTAACATCGCGGTGCCGTGACTCAGTCAATAGGGGTTTTATAAGGATACCTTGAAATTTTATATTTACAGTACTCATTTACCTCTCCGGGGGCAAGCAGGTCTCCTAAAGGGACTTTCTCCAAGAAAAAAAAAACCCTTAAATTTTTTTTAGGCCCCACAGAAAAGATTTTGAATAAGCTTTTAGTCGTGTTGGATATTGACACAGCTCTTGCAATGCAACTGCAAATGCAACCTCTTATAATGAATTGTTATTTCACAGTTTCATACAGAATTAGTGTTCTACTACATGACTAGTTTGCTTTGTTGAGGACGAAACCTTCAAATCCATACAAGCGATTGCTTGCAAAGATCCAATGCAAAATTCTTGTATTAATCTCTGGTACCACTTTTCTGACTTTTTTAAATATTAGATTCAGAAAAGGGCAATGTAGGGTTTATTTGCTCAATTTCAAAATATTTAAATTTAGAACTCGGAAATTTGAATTTGGAATCTCCGTTATTACGACGTCTCAAGTTGTAAGTTATGTAAAAAAGGAACAAAGAATTTTTTTTTTCTACTTAAAGTGGATTTAATGGATTCTTTACAGCCAGATCAAAATATTAATATATTAAATTTTCATATATATATTTCACACATTTAGTGGCGACCTCGGTGGTTTAGTGGTTTACCATACCGCTTTATTCCGATTATTATGGGTTCGTTTCCTGGCACGGTGCAAATATTATATTTGCACCGTGCCGGGTGAATTGATTGTGGTGTGTATCCGTCTAGGTCTTTTCAATGTATATTATGTATGTACATGAATAAATGATTCTTTGATTTGATTGTCTGTAGTGATTGCCACAGGTTTATTTTATTATTATGAAACGAGCGATACCGTACAATGTCACTAGTCTTACAATAAATGAACAAAAGAATTATCGACAATAATGACGCCATCTGCGAAAGATATTTTACATAGCGAGTGCTTCTCTCAATGGTTTCCAACTCAGTGAATAAAAACATTGCCACCTCAAATATTGCTGGGGAAAATTATTAGATATTTTTTGTAGTATGCTAACAGAGTGCTTAACGAATATAAAACACTGTTATCTTACACTTTAAAATATAAACACTAAATATAATATTTATACTTTAGCTGCTCGTCTGAGTGGAATAATTTCGTTCTTCTTAGAATTCTTCTTTTAGTAGGTACATACTTAAGCTTTGTAAAAAAATATTAGATACAAAAAAAATTAAATCAAACCTAATTCTAACAATGTTAATGTCTTATTTGCTTTATCTTAGTATAAGTTTTAAGCCTCGGTTTTAACTCACATTATATTTGCACTGCAGTCCACTGCTGGACATTGATCTCTCCCAAGGCACGATCTTGAGCCCTTCTCTTATTATATAAATTAAGTAACTTATTACTAAACACTTAGTTGGATATCCCATAAATAATCTACAATCCTAATGAAATAACATACAATAACACGCTAACTGGTCTTTTAATGAACTTTATGATAGGAAGTTAAAACCAGAACTACAAAACGGTAGTGGAGTAAAATCTAATTTAATAGACATTATTACAGAACTGTATATAACTTTTAATACAATTCACGCCTGAACCTGACATAAAGTGGTTTTCAGGAGTTTTCATTGTTATCACTTAGCTCTATTTTGCTACTACTTCTCGCTTATACGAGTATAGTTATAGTAATGCGACCCGGCTTCGCACTGGTATTTAACTAAATAAATTCATAAATTCATCATAAATTAAGTACGATGATTTCTATAGAGGACCTGACATACTACATTAATAATAATAATACTACTAATCACGACAATTCACACAGCGCCATCTAGACCCAAGTTAAGCTACCTAAAGCTTATGTTATGGGTACTAGACAACTTATACAAATACATAGATTTTTTTTTCCGTAAATATATACATATTATACATAGAAAACAGATCGATACAAACGATCATACTCATGAATACAAATGTTTGTACCGTGCGAGGAATCGAACCCGCGACCATCGGGTGTAAAGCGGTGTGCTAGACCGCTAAACCACCGAGGCCATCTATATTACTAATAATGTGGTTCTAAGACTTATAAACAGGAATTGGGCGATTTCCCAACATAGAGTCTAGACCAGTGTTTCAGAACATAGGGCCCACAGGGGGGAAATTTCATTGTTAAGGAGGGCAATTGGAAAATGGACTCTTTATTCAAATTATATGAAATGTGAATTTCAATGTTT